GCTAACTCCTCATAGAAAGTAAGCTGTTACTAGCAGTTTATAACCGACGCTGTGCGAAGGGGAAAGATTGAAATAAATTAAATAAATTACAGTTGATAAGGTTTTCTCATTATAGAGATCTAGAATAAGTAGAATTCGGTTCCTAAATACACAGCATATATGCTACACGCAAATGACGCAATTGGAATCCTAAATTTTTTTCCCGAAACATAAATAATATTAATTTTCATATCTAATAACAACAAGCCAATAACACTTATTATAAACTTTTTGGCCCGCACATTTCAGAAACCCTTAAAATGAGGTCTCATAGAAATACTGGGTGACGGCTGCTATTCGCCTGAATTGATCACAATGGGCCTCCATCGATCGTTCTCGGCTATCTTTAAAACCAGGAACGGGGAATCAAAGAACGGGGAACGAGGAACGGAGAACGGGGAATGAGAATCTCCGGAATCTCTAAAACCCGGAACGAGAATCTCCGGAATCTTTAAAAGCCGGAATGAGAATCTCCGAAATCTTTAAAACCCGGAACGAGAATCTCTGGAATCTTTAAAAGCCGGAATGAGAATCTCCGGAATCTTTAAAACCCGGAACGAGAATCTCCGGAATCTTTAAAACCCGGAACGAGAATCTCCGGAATCTTTAAAAGCCGGAATGAGAATCTCCGGAATCTTTAAAACCCGGAACGAGAATCTCCGGAATCTTTAAAACCCGGAACGAGAATCTCCGGAATCTTTAAAAGCCGGAACGAGAATTTCCGGAATCTTTAAAAGCCGTAATGAGAATCTCCAGAATCTTTAAAACCCGGAACGAGAATCTCCGGAATCTTTAAACTCCGGAACAAGAAACATGTAAACAAAAGGAGCAATAAAATAAATCCCGTTCTAAACAAGTTGTGTCATTCGATATCAACTTTTTTGACATAAAAACAGTCAATGTATGATAAAATGAGCCTGCCTCTTGAATTCTGTCGTTGGAATTTTCCAGATTCGGTCTAAAACGTGAAATAATGTTATTGTTATTTGAATAGTTTGGTTCAGGAGATGTGTATATGTATATTATGTACTCTGGTTTTCAGTATCTACTCCTTTGTGTTTAAGTGCAACAATTAGTATGAATTGCACTTGATAAGCATGCCATAGAAATTTCCAATCAGCAGTACATAGTTAGGGAGCAATGAAATTGTGCACATATGATATTGCACTGCATGAAAGCAAAAAAAATCATTTCAGTATTACTTTGTGACACCTAAAAAATATATTTTAGTGGTAAAATGAAAGTCAAACATATATAATTGAGGAAGCTAAATTCCTCACACAAATTTGAATCCCTTTACACCCATGTAAATTAATGCGACAGTTCAACAACCCTGAGCTAAATGACAATTGAAATGTTATATATACAACAAAGTGAACACTTGTCAAACCCCTTTGGAAAACAAATAGCTAGTGAGAAACCAAGTGCTGCTTTTTTAACCAAAGACCATGGTGTGTGCTGGATAAACAAGCTAAATTAACATTGTTATTGGAAGGCCTTTGATTTCTTTCTTCTGAGGAAAAGTTATGGTTATAATTTCACTTGTTCAAAAGCTGCTCAAATTTTTGGTGTGAATAAATTAGATTGGACTGTCTATGTGCATCCTACTGGCTCTGGTGGAAAAATGTACCAAAAATGTTTATAAATACACTGGGAGTACCCGTGAAACCTGTAACTACCATTAGGCATTGAAATGATAGGGCAGGAAAGGGGGCAAGGGTTTCACCGTTTCAGTGTTTTTCAGTTTAATATATATAAGCTAGAACTGAGTGCTAGCTTTTCCAAACTACTCTCAATATTAATAGTAATAATAGGTTTGATAAAACTTACTTTTTAACAGCTTTAATCACAGAAGATATGATGCACCCGACTACATAAAAGATAGTTCACTTTGTAACGTTTTTCCACGGATGTGGACATGTATTCATTTCATAATTCGATCGTATTGAATGCCTTCTGCCACTTGTCCAGTGTATTCCAATTTCCAATGTCCATTTCATATATTGGTTAGACAGCGAGGACAAGGACCACGACGAGGCAAAGAAAAACGCATTTTTAGAGAAAATATGGCTTCGGTGATGGTCCAATATTTCGCCTGGATAAGAAGCACTCCGATAACGCTTGATTTTCACGATATTTTAGACTTGACATTGATTTAACAAATTGCGCGCGTAGTAGCACTGTAGCATGGCTATTCAAATAACAATAACATTATTTCACGTTTTAGACCGAATCTGGAAAATTCCAACGACAGAATTCAAGAGGCAGGCTCATTTTATCATACATTGACTGTTTTTATGTCAAAAAAGTTGATATCGAATGACACAACTTGTTTAGAACGGGATTTATTTTATTGCTCCTTCTGTTTACATGTTTCTCGTTCCGGGATTTAAAGATTCCGGAGATTCTCGTTCCGACTTTTAAAGATTCCGGAGATTCTCGTTCCGGCTTTTAAAGATTCCGGAGATTCTCGTTCCGGGTTTTAAAGATTCCGGAGATTCTCATTCCGGCTTTTAAAGATTCCGGAGATTCTCGTTTCGGCTTTTAAAGATTCCGGAGATTCTCGTTCCGGGTTTTAAAGATTCCGGAGATTCTCATTCCGGCTTTTAAAGATTCCGGAGATTCTCGTTCCGGCTTTTAAAGATTCCGGAGATTCTCGTTCCGGGTTTTAAAGATTCCGGAGATTCTCATTCCGGCTTTTAAAGATTCCGGAGATTCTCGTTCCGGCTTTTAAAGATTCCGGAGATTCTCCTTCCGGCTTTTAAAGATTCCGGAGATTCTCATTCCGGCTTTTAAAGATTCCGGAGATTCTCGTTCCGGGTTTTAAAGATTCCGGAGATTCTCATTCCGGCTTTTAAAGATTCCGGAGATTCTCATTCCGGCTTTTCAAGATTCCGGAGATTCTCGTTCCGGGTTTTAAAGATTCCGGAGATTCTCATTACGGCTTTTAAAGATTCCGGAGATTCTCGTTCCGGGTTTTAAAGATTCCGGAGATTCTCGTTCCGGCTTTTAAAGATTCCGGAGATTCTCATTCCGGCTTTTAAAGATTCCGGAGATTCTCGTTCCGGGTTTTAAAGATTCCGGAGATTCTCATTCCGGCTTTTAAAGATTCCGGAGATTCTCATTCCGGCTTTTAAAGATTCCGGAGATTCTCGTTCCGGCTTTTAAAGATTCCGGAGATTCTCGTTCCGGGTTTTAAAGATTCCGGAGATTCTCATTCCGGCTTTTAAAGATTCCGGAGATTCTCGTTCCGAGTTTTAAAGATTCCGGAGATTCTCGTTCCGGCTTTTAAAGATTCCGGAGATTCTCATTCCGGCTTTTAAAGATTCCGGAGATTCTCGTTCCGGGTTTTAAAGATTCCGGAGATTCTCATTCCGGCTTTTAAAGATTCCGGAGATTCTCGTTCCGGGTTTTAAAGATTCTGGAGATTCTCGTTCCGGGTTTTAAAGATTCCGGAGATTCTCATTCCGGCTTTTAAAGATTCCGGAGATTCTCGTTCCGGCTTTTAAAGATTCCGGAGATTCTCGTTCCGGGTTTTAAAGATTCCGGAGATTCTCATTCCCCGTTCCCCGTTCCCCGTTCCCCGTTCCCCGTTCCTCGTTCCCCGTTCCTTGATTCCGTTCCTGGTTTTAAAGATAGCCGATCGTTCTCTTGATGAAATTAAGTCGTGGTGTTTTGGTTTTACAGTTTTGCGTTTTTTAAACAACATTTCGGTTATTAGAGTGGCATTTTGGTGTGAGTTGTAGCTACGTTGTTTTTTTTTCCTTTTCAGTTTGAAGTATCGATGTCAACACGGACATAATATTTAGGGTTTTTGGCAATTTTTTGAGCGCGATGGCGGGTACTGCATGCATGTATGTTCCATGCAATGCTCCTCCTCTCCTTAAGTTCGAATTCAAAAACCATAAAACATTACTGATAAAAATGGCGATTTTTAACCATAATAAATGCATGCGACTAATTTCGTAGGTTCCTGCTTGAATTCCGGGGACATGTAGAAGTTCAAAGTTATAAAAGTAAAAAAGTTTTCGTCAAACAAACAACACTTTAGTTCTTTACTCATATAAATGTCGAAATATTGTCATTTGTGTTGTGCAGGAACAAGTCATTTTCATCAATGCAAAGTAGCTTAATTGAATGTCATTTTCCTGTTAAATTGTTCGCTCTCCGAATCTTTTGCGAAACATGCTTTTTCTCATCATCTGAAAATAATGCGAATGGTCATAACAATAACTAAGTGACGGCTGCAATTCGCCCGTTAAGTTTGTCGAAACTAGGCTACATAATAATGCACGTACTGTTTACGAGCGGCATAAGTTAAAAGATATTTAATTTAGGTTTTTTAATTAAATAAAACTGCAAATTACGTTATATTGCATGCTTCTATCATTTACACTTCAGTTGCAGTAATATCCGGTGTTTTTTAGTTCAGTCAAGACCCCATTGTGTCGATCGTTCTTCTCCTGAAGAAATTAAGTCGTGCATGGTATTTTGGTTTTCAGTGTTGCGATTTTTGTGTCTTTTTTAAGAGCATTTCGGTCGTACAATTTTTTAGAGCGGTATTTCGGTTATAATGCACAGTAGATACGTTGTGTTTTCCTTTTCAGCTCGAAGTATCTATGTCAACACGGACATAAAATTTAGGTTTTTTGGTGATTTTTTGAGCGCAATGGCGGATATACTGCATAAATGCATGTGTGTTCAATGATATTTGGCGCACTAAGTATGAACACTTCAAACGCTTTATTTTATAAGACAGTCAAATAATTTAAGAAGTCCCCTTACTTATTAACGTAGGTGTATATTGTGGTTATAGCAACGTAATTAAAGTTTTCTTAAACACAACCAACACGATACTGTACCTCACGATACAGTTCTATTCGTTTTTTTCCTGGTCATATACCTCTAGGAAACGTCTCCCATTCTATATATTTTTAATCAGACAAAAGACGATTTAAATGATGCTTGTAGCAGCCACCTTGAGCTTGCTGTTGCTTGATATTGGAAACGTTTTTGCAAACCAATGCTTTCCACGAAGTTACATAATCATAAAAGGTGAGTCATCCTTGCGTGCTGTTTTTTTCGATATTCATCATTTACATTTTGCATTTTAAAATTTTGATTAAACTGATCATTGAGATTTTTTGGTTTCCTATATATCAGAGAATCTCGTTAGTAAAAGATATTGTCGTGGTATTTTATTTAAAGTGCCTATATCACTTGTGAGATCTTCACGGATTTGAATAGAGCTTGAAAAATTAGTTTGTAAGTTCTACAACCCTTTTTGACCTAGTTGAATAGTTTCGGAAATATTTACATCTAAACATGACGATTTGCCTAAATTTCCGTCGTGCTCGGGGGCCTGGGACTCAGGAACCGAGATCTTGTCAAACATAATATAATCATTGTAATTTTACTTCGATCTCACAATAACGTAAAATATTTTGAGAAAAACTCGCCCAGTTGCTACAGCCATACACAACGCACTGTTCCCGCATTTTTTTTTTGAAAAGCGCAAACTATGTCGCCAGTAAAACTCTTCATGTTTACATTATAAAAAACGGTGTGTTTGCAAATCATTCCTGAGTCCCAGTCCCGCCAACCGACGTATTTTCGAAACTATTTATTTATATCAAAAAAGGTTTTAGAACTTATAAACAAATTTTTCAAGCTCTATTCAAATCCGTAAAGATCCCACAAGTGATATAGGCACTTTAATACTCCATGATTAAAATGGCTTCTAAATTCCAATCATATATACATATAAATTCCGATTCAATTTTCGTCCAAAAAATTTTAACAAGTCTCCTTGAAATTTTTAGGACGTCCATCATTGCCCCCTCATGAGATAATATCAAGACACAATATTACATCTTTACATGTCATGTTAAAATGTCACAATCTATGCAAAGACGAAGACAAATGTGTTGGGTTCAACTACAGAACAACAAAAAATGTTGAAAATTGCCAACTTACAAATGTTACTAAAGAAAGAGAAAGAGTAAAAACAGGAGATTGGATATTGATGCTTGATATTGAAGCGGTGAGGCTTGCTAGCTTTTTGTTTGCATTTACATGCACTGATCGATATCAACATGGCAATTGTATACGCTTTTTAAAAATGGCCAAATAACAAAAGCCAATGAACACATAAATGATATCTAAGCAGGAAAGTAGAAATAATGAATTACTGCACTAGTATATTTGCTCCGATTCACATTTATGCGTCACAGAACCAATGTTTAAGCGCAGCTTTATTTATGCTTTCGTGAAAATCTTACCCATTATGTGATAAATGATTGGTGACAGGTTTAATTAAGTTCGTTTCTCAACAGCAAAGCTAACGTTGTGCAGTGGTTGCCAATTTTTAAGGCAACCGGGTATCACTTCCTTGAAAAAAGACTGTAGATTGATCATATCTCAGATTATGTTTAATCATAAATTATCGGGATCGTAAAAGTAAAAGAAAATGATTTTAAATAACGCTTGGAATTTGTTTTGCCTTTTAAATTAATACTTTATAATGTAGGTTGTAAGTGTTTTTTGAATTTTGATTGTTTAGGTTTAACGCCAAATGACGATATATACTTAATAATTTTAGATAAATAGATAAATAAGATAAATAATTTTATGGTTGTCATGAAATAACTACAAAAAAGCTTTAGAAAGAATCGAGTACATAAATAATATAGTATATAGAAATAATCTAATATTTGTCTTGTTTCAAACTATAATATACTGATCATGATTAATCAATTTTGTATAGACTAAGAACGAGAAACAAAAAGGAGAAAATAACAACAGAAATTCGGGTACGGTTCTACGGATCTTAATAAAACCAACAATATTCGGGTAAATAAAATAAAAAAGGGCATTCAGATCCATCATCAATATTTAATTCAAGATTCCAGAAAGATGTGCCAAATAATCATTTGTTTTCAATCAATATTTCAAGTACACGTTCATGTTATACTTTCTACAGTTTCTGTTCGAAACGGTAAATTTATTCAATGTATTGGCCGAAATATTGACCGTTCAGCGCATCCAGCAGACCGCATCCCATTTCCTTCACTCGTAGCTATACATGGCCGAGGAGGGGAAATATAAGATGTCAGTGATAAAACTAAAGCAAATATGAAGTTAGATACAAAAAGAAATAAGAAAAGTATGATATAGACTTTGGCAAGAAGGCGATTTCTCGTTTTCTAGTATATTCGAAAACGTTTCAGGGTTGATATTCGTTCTATAAAACATAAAGTATGGCAGATCACGTGGATAGCCTTGTCATCATCGGCATTGAAAACAGACCTCGGGTGGCAGTAAATCTTATTCTACCAGTTTCTCTCATATAAACCATGCAGACCAAATTTAATAGAGGATTTGCGGTTTATAAGAGTTTCTTTGAAATCATGCACGAACTCGTCTTACAAAAGCTGTCACGCTGTTCGTTGCTCATTTTGAAATATGCGTGCCAACATATAGCAAAATAAATTTCAGGGGTCGATCATCCATAGGTCGTCTAATTTCCGAAGTGAGCAGTTGGAAAATGTTCTTACACCTAAGATATGTAGTTCAAAAAGTGACGCTTTTGGCAGAAAATATAGTAAAATTCATACGATATCATCAGGCACTTTAAACTTAAAGGTTTTCCATCGGGATACATCCCTGGCTTAGAACTCCCTTTAATTTAGCGACTGTGGAATTATCAATAACGTTAAATTAGATCATCACATTATTCATTTTTTATTACGACAAAATTGAATTTGAGGAAGAAGAAGATGTACTGTCATTGATATCAACCTAGTTTAACCTCATTATTTTTAATTTCGACAGACAACGAGGAATGTGCGGAGGGTGATCCATGTGGTTTCAATACGAACTGTACAAACACTGATGGTTCTTACACGTGCGAGTGTCTATCTGGGTATGAAGGGAATGGAACAAATTGCACAGGCAGGTTCTAGGGTAGTCATATAACTATGGAACATTTTAGAACACATCACAAAGATCGATGTTTACAGAAAACTATATGAACGCCCACGACTGGCAATTACAGCAACCTGCATGTTATACAATCTTGAAATGCTAAAACCATTAACTATAGCTATACACATATACGGTTTAATTTTTTTCCTTCTTCAAAAGAGAAATGCCCACGAATTTAATGGCATTGATTTATTCACGGGGAACATTTCGTAAATTTGTACAATTATATCGAACATAAATATCAACGAATGCTTAACGATTGCTCCGTTTCATTCAAATGCAACTTGCACAAACGTTTACGGATCATACTACTACGCTTATTACTACGAATACTACTGCGCAAAAATAAAAAATCTACTAATGTGATTACAATTTTGAGCTCTAGAGATTTATTCTGCCTTGCTCTGATTGCGTTAACCTGGTTAGCGTTTTTTCCCAAAGCCGCCGTCTGAGGCTGATAACGCCAAACGAGGAATGTCACGCAAAAACGGAATCTAATAATGTTTTATTATTCACCTAAACTCACTAAAATTAATAATGATCAAAGGGTAGTGATTACGAAGTATTTTATCGAATAATTATATTCTTATTTATTGATTATATTTTGTTGTTTTGATATTACGAAAAAATAGGATGTACTGTCATTCATATCAACCTAGTTTAAGCTCAATATTTTTAATTTCAACAGACATCGATGAATGTGCGGAGGGTGATCCATGTGGTTTAAATACGAATTGTACGAACACTAATGGTTCTTACACGTGCGAGTGTTTATCTGGTTATGAAGGGAATGGAACAAATTGCACAGGCAGGTTCTAGGGTGGTCATATTTTGAACATTATAGAACATATCACAAAGATTGATGTTTACAGAAAACTTTATGAACGCCCACGACTGGCAACTCCAGCATCGTGCATGTTATACGATCTTGAAATGCTAAATCCATTAACTATAGCTATACGCACATATCTGTTTAATTTTCTTTCCTTCTTCAAGAGAGAGAAATGCCCGCTAATTTGATGGAATTGATTTATTCACGGGGAGCATGTCGTAAATTTGTACAATTATATCAAACCTAGATATCAACGAATGCGAAACAATTGCTCCGTGTCATTCAAATGCAACTTGCACAAACGCGGATGGATCATACTACTGCGCTTGCAAAGCAAACTACAGTGGAGATGGCTTCTTTTGTGAAGGTAATCGCATATTCAAAATGATTTTAAAAATATTTAAACCGGAGTTTTGCAAGTGTATTTCCGTTTACGATGGTGAAAGGAATCCTTTCCTTTTCAAGTATTACATTTTAACCCCTATTAAACATCTATTGCATGGTAGCAGATAGAAAGAATAGTGTTTTGTACTAACACAAATGCAGAACTCAGATGCAAACTCAAATACATGCATTTGAATTCGACTTTTGAATTTCGGCCTGGCTTCAGGTTGGCATGCAAGCCATGCATCGTCTGTACTTTATTAAAACTTCATTAAAACATTTCAGTCAGTTACTTTTGACCATTTTAACAGCATTACTGTGGTTTAAAATTAAAAAATACAGTGATATTTGTGAATAAATTTGAATAAATGAAACCATTTCAGTCATCAGGTGTGAAAATTATGTAATCTGACAATCACTTTTCAATAATTTTTGTCACAAAAACATAAATTTTGCACAAATCAGAGAGAGAAAAATAGAATATATTTTCAAAACTTGAGATGGAATAATTTGGAAAAAACTAAATTTTCACCTGAGTTTAGGTCGGCCTTTTCCATACTTCCCCGACGAAAGTAGCCGAACAGATTAATGAAAACACCACAAAAACGCCTCAATTGAAAGGCAAAACTTCCTCACCTGAATAATATGATAACAACGATGAAACCAAGCTTGAAGGTATCGAAAAATATGTAGAACAAAGGCGAAAAACGGCATATAACTCGGCGAATAGTTTTGTACTGCATAAAAATACAAATATTGTTTTTTACAAAATAAGCCTCGTTTCCATGTATTGCGAAGGCGCGGTTACTAAGTTTTGCAATTGGTCTATATATAGCAGTGACACAGATTAGAGGAATAACAGAAGAAAATATAGATGTATGAGCGCGAGGTCAAAAATTTTTAATCACTAACGAATACAACGATTTATTAATTGACACAGCGTGTGAAATGGCTCTCGGGATGGAAAATGGTAATATTAATGATGAACAAATCACAGCATCAAGTGAACATGATATAAATCATCGCGCGGCTAATGGAAGATTGAATTTTACCCCACGAGATGGAAGAAAAGGTGCATGGGCATCAGGGAAAATTGATCTTCATCAGTGGCTTCAGGTTGATTTCCAAAGATCTACTCTGGTCACAGGAATCAGTACGCAAGGACGCAACAACAACAACGACAATCAGTTTGTTAAGAGTTACACCGTTTCTTTCAGCCAAAATGGGGAATTTTTTCATAATTACAAACAGAAAGAAGCCGTCAAGGTATTCTCTAATATTTATCTTTTGCAAATAATTTTGTTTGAGATTGACATTAAATTTTTGCGGCACGAAAAATTAACGAGAAATGTTGCAAAGAGTTGTGGCGAACAAGTAGACAATACGTTCTTGAGCACAAGAAAGAAAGTACAGGAAGCCCTGTTGCATTCCTAGTTGTATAAAAAAAAATTCAAATGTAGTGATGTAGTGAACGCTGTCGGAGAGTATATAGCTGCTTAATGATTTATTAATTTTCATGATTGCATGAAAATAACCTAGACGAAAACTTTACAAACAAGCTCTATAAAAGGCCTAAAGCTACGTAAACTACACTCAATTTACTGGCACGGCAAGGATAAAATTAGTACCCGTGCCCAGTTTTATTAGTGTTCAGGCTACCAATACTAAGACCGATGAAATTGATACGCGTAACTATTTTAGCCGTGCCGGGCCAATAAATGGACCGTAGTGTTAACAGGGCTTAAAAAGCTTCAACCTTCATTTAAAGCCCGTTTACACTGCAATCATTTTATTTGCACGGCACGGCTGAAATAGGCATCCACGTATTAACTTTATCCGTGCTCGGCTTCGCATTATAATGCGGATACCCATTTCAGACGTGCCGTGCAAATAAAATGATTGTAGTGTAAACGGGCTTTAAATGAAGGTTGAAGCTTTTTAAGCCCCGTTTTCACTACGGTCCATTTATTGGCACGGCACGGCTAAAATAGTTACGTGTGCCAATTTCATCAGCGCTCGGTCTTAGTATTGGTAGCCTGAACACTAATAAAACTGGGCACGTGCACCAATTTTAGCTGTGTCATGCCAATAAATTCAGTGGCTGAACTGTAAACGGACCTATAATTTTAATAATCAATGTTTTGTGAACATGGATGTTTGGGTTTGCACTTTTAAAATAAAGTGAGAAAATCCTGTCAGAAATATTTATTTTCATCAATTAGATGCGACTGCACACTCCACTAATGTTATAAAAACATCCGGGGTTTTTTCTATCCCAAGATTAGTAAAATTTCCTGAGAAATGCCATAACTATTTTAGACAAACACCTCCCCCCAGGAACTAACGTCTAATACCCGATCGATGGCCAATTTTGGCGCGTGATGGTGTGAGCAACTTCTGGCGCCGCAACAAGTTCCCCTCCCACGGCCAAAGCTCTGGGACAATCCAAACCTTCCACCAGAAACCCTTGTTTCCTTTTCGTATTAATTTTTGGAATGTATTGTGTTACAAAATACCAGCGTCAACCAATCAGAATCATTTTTGATTTTGATTATTCGAAAGCCTTCGTTTCTCGGAAGAGAAAATCGCAGTTCCGGGGAATGAGTTTGGGCAAATGCTCAATAATTCCATTTCGTTTTTAATAATATATTGCTATTTGAAGATAGATATTACAGCAACCTCGAGTATTTTTTAATGTCTTCAGGTATTTCAAGGCAACACTGACAAGAATTCCATTGTCCATCACATGGTGATTCCTAACATTTCTGCTCGGTTCATTCGCATTCATCCAAAGGCTTGGAATATGCATATCTCGATGAGAGTAGAATTTTATGGATGTAACGCTACATAAATATTGGAAAATGGAAGCCCGTTTGCACGGTAATGCGCTTTTCTCTTTCTTGTTTTTTCTTTATAATAACATTTAAACGATATTTACATGTTTGCAGATGTTTAGGCAATGTTTGTTTAAGGGCACAAGTGACAAGGTTAAAACGTGATCCCTATTACGATTCTGTTAACAATCGAATTCTTCTGATAGGCATATTTGGTTTACTAAATTTGATATTATATCACGTGGACATTTTTCATTTCATAGAACAATGCATGCCGCATGCTTCAGGATCATATTTATGATAAGTTAGGTAAATAAGTAAGATAAATAAGTAAGGTAAATAAGTGAGGTAAAGAAGTAAGGTAAATAAGTAAGGTAAATAAGTAAGGTAAATAAGTAAGGTAAATAAATAAGGTAAATAAGTAAGGTAAATAAATAAGGTAAATAAGTAAGGTAAATAAATAAGGTAAACATGTAACGTAATTAAGTAAAAAAAAGTGTATTTCAGAGAGTGATTAATATTAAATCAAGTGATTAAAAACCATTTTAATTTCGATCATCTGATTTTTTTTAATTTTGAAAATTCTCAGAATATTGTATTGTGACTCTTTGCTCTCGTAAATCGCTCCAAATTGATAAATTCAAGGTTTGGTGCAGAACATGGACTGCGGACTGCTGTCGGCGGACTCTAAAGTGTTCTCTTCACTTGTAGCAAAATATATAGATTAAATATACTTATATTAAAATTGTTATTATAAATAACAACTCGAATTTGAGGCATATTTCTCAGTATTAAATTACTGTTAAATATTTCAAAGTTTCAGAATTTTTTTGCCTTCATGTATACTCCTTTTTTATTCATAAAACTTAATTTATTCCAAAATGTAATCCAAACAATACTTTTTAATTGGTTTTTGGGTTTGAAAATTTTCTAAAATACCTCATTTGGCATGTCAGTGGTGACGTAGATAAAGCGGGCAACGTCTTTCTTAAATTTGTCACAATATGCCCGGCACTGCCCGGAATATTTAATGATTTTTTGCCGAAGACGAATAATTGTTTTAGTATTGAATTGTCAAAAAAACCCTGTATTTTTTCGTTTATCTCTTTCTAAGAAAGTCACGAAACGTGCACAAAACAGCTAACGCAATTTTGAAATTTTTTATAATGATTCAGCTGAAGATGAATTTAACAGCATAATACGTCAAATTTGACCAATCAGAATGTAGGATTTGGTATATTCGCCTGTGCAAAAATACTAAAAGTTAATTAACACGATTCAAAACGCCCTTCGTGGAGACGCTTTTGTTTCAATTCGCTCAAAATTTTTATTTTTTTTTATGTTATTAAATAGGAAGCTGTTGCATCCTATTTGAATTTGAATTTGAATTTATTAAATTCAGTATAGACGTTATTACAACATAACATTTATACTAGGCAGAAAAACAATAGGACACGAAGTCCCTTACAAGGTTAACTGCCTTAACTGCCTATTCGCAGCAACTATAATCCCGCTTACGCTGTTAAAGTTCTATGATCACAGCACCATGGGTACAAGGTTATGATCACAGTTTGAATTTTAAATTCACAAACTTTAACTAATTTGTAACAAATTATACAATTTATAACCCTAATAAATAGTAACGTGGCTATAAATAATAGACGTTTTTTGATCGGTGTTTTGTTGAGCATGCGGGATATAGGCATACACATGCAGTGATTAATAATTATTATGCTCTCACAAGCAAACCATTACATATTTTGCTATAACTGAAGAGAACACTCTTGAGTCCGCAGTCAAAAGTACGCGTTTTCCACCAAACCTAAATTCAACGCTCACACCTCTCTTTTGTATGTAATATGTATTGTGCAACATCGTCAACCGTTACCGTGAGGGTTTTCAATTCCACAAAACCTAAATTCAACGCTCACAGCTCACTTTTGATTTTGAAAATTCAGGATCAATTACATTAAATTCGTAATTTTCATTGTATAGTGGACCCACTTCAAGTGGTAGTAGCACTGTAGTGTCAATAATTGAAATAAGGACACAAAATCGGGTACTATATATTCTATATAATGTCTGAAATTTGGAGGTTTGTGGAATAAACATTCCGACCAGGAATTATGGGAAACAGATTCAACACTAATTATAATAACTTGTAGGTACACCACGTAAGTATTAAATACTGCAAAGCTTTCGGTCCGTTAACCCGGACCTTCATCAGTGCAATTACTTGAATACACGTTTGCGCGTCACTTAAATATCATGTTAGTCGTGATTAGTTTGCTCGCGCTATTAATTAAACGGTTTCATTTAATTAAGTTCTAATTAATGCGCGCGCCCTAGACAAGTATTTGACTAAGAGACACCGAAAAGAGCACGCCACGTACTATTAAGTGGCTTTCCCTCTTGGACGATAGTTTGATGTTATAATTTCAATAGATTCTCTCATTTTACGAGAGACAGTAAACTTATCGTTTGCTAAAATGGTAGCATCGTTCCATTTAATGCGATGATCATAAGTCCATGCATGGTGAGCTACTGCAGACTTATCCAGTTTACCTTTCTCGCAGTTCGTCTTATGTTCTTTAAGACGTATTGAGAGATTTCTACCGGTCTCTCCAATGTAAAAACCACATTCACATGGAATGCGGTACACACCAGGTTTCTGTTGTTCATCGACGCCATCCTTGTGTGTGTAAAGAGCGCGAAACAATTTGTTATTGCTAGAATGGTAAACTTGTATTCCAACTTCTTTTAAAATCCTAACGATTTTATATGAAGCTGGGCCAATATATGGTAAACAGACAGAGGATAGATATTCTGTGTCTTGCCTCTGTCTTTGCTGTTCATTCATAGCATGTTCTATGAATTTCTTAGGATAACCATTCATTCATTTCGTTAGGATTTTAAAAGAAGTTGGAATACAAGTTTACCATTCTAGCAATAACAAATTGTTTCGCGCTCTTTACACACACAAGGATGGCGTCGATGAACAACAGAAACCTGGTGTGTACCGCATTCCATGTGAATGTGGTTTGGTTTACATTGGAGAGACCGGTAGAAATCTCTCAATACGTCTTAAAGAACATAAGACGAACTGCGAGAAAGGTAAACTGGATAAGTCTGCAGTAGCTCACCATGCATGGACTTATGATCATCGCATTAAATGGAACGATGCTACCATTTTAGCAAACGATAAGTTTACTGTCTCTCGTAAAATGAGAGAATCTATTGAAATTTATAAACATCAAACTATCGTCCAAGAGGGAAAGCCACTTAATAGTACGTGGCGTGCTCTTTTCGGTGTCTCTTAGTCAAATACTTGTCTAGGGCGCGCGCATTAATTAGAACTTAATTAAATGAAACCGTTTAATTAATAGCGCGAGCAAACTAATCACGACTAACATGATATTTAAGTGACGCGCAAACGTGTATTCAAGTAATTGCACTGATGAAGGTCCGGGTTAACGGACCGAAAGCTTTGCAGTATTTAATACTTACGTGGTGTACCTACAAGTTATTATAATTACTAAAGTCGCCATGCAATCATACAAGAAAATTAGATTCAACACTGTTCGAGATAATATTCTTATTAAATTTTCGATAGAAACATCTAGGTTATAATCTAGACCTAATGATGCACTAGCGACGTAGACGTATGTCGCGTTGCAAAAAGTTTGACACGACCAACCGAACCGAAATTATCACTTTGACCCGTTGTAAAAATATTCCAGTGATTGTAGTACATGTACAGTTCTGCGGCTGACGACCGCAAGGTGAAAAATACAATCCTGTTTGCCGTTCGCTTTCCAACGGAATGTTATGAAGAGATGAGAACGACAACACAATGATCATTTCGAAAACATTTTATGAAATGTCTGTCAGACTGAGTTCCATCGAACTTCAACATCGGTCTCACCGCGGTTCGACCTCGGTCTGACCTCGGTTGAACCGCGGTTTTTTATGTTATTTCTGGACAGTATTGTACATATGTCAGGTTTGCCACACATTTGTATTTCCTGACACCTAGAACAGAGCAAATTTTGGCTTTGCGCCTGAGTATATCTATCTGCCAATCTCTTCCACGCTTGACAGAAGTCATTGATAATGCATGAAGATATTTCAGCTGAAGAATTTGTGTATATAATGAACATAAATAACACGTTACACATCTATTTATGCATCGTCGGCAAAATGTGAGGTCAGATGTTTGACAAAAATACGCTCAGTTTTCCTTCCTCTTTCAAAATCACGTGATGAAAATATTTTGCTACTTCAGCAAAATATTCTCTTGTTTTTGATGACCAAAAGTGGTATTCCCTGACATGGCATTTTCGTGATGGAAATTGAGAGTGATTGACGGGAATTGAAGGTTAATGGAATTAATTATCATGATTGATAGAATGGGAAGAAATTGGAGGAAATTAATCTTGAATGCAAATTCTATAGAAACATTTGGACGTTTAAATACAAGAAACCGTTTAATAAAGAAGTATTGCATCTTAGTTCATATTTGACTCTTTAGTGTTTTACATTGCCAACGATTTGTGTGTGTTTTCTTATAAACTAAAATAAAAAGTAGTTTAGGGCAAATTAATCGTTGATATATTATGGCTACGTGCATTAACTGTATTGTCAAGTTTCACACACGCAACCATGCAGGTGTTTTTCGTATTAGCATTTCATGAACAGTGCTGTCCAGAAATAGCACAACAAAAACCGCGGTTAAACTAAGGTCAGACCGAGGTCGAACCCGCGGTGAGACAGAGGTTTAATCTCGGCCTAACTCGGTCTGAATGAAACTTCTTTAAGATGTTTTCGATATATTTGTGTTGTCGTTCTCAGCTGTTCATAACATTACGTTCAAAAGCGAACAGCCACTGCGAAGGTATTTTTCCCTTTGAGATCGTCCGCGGTTTCTACCGGTCGACCGCAACAGAACCTTAACCGCAGTGTTAGGTTATTTCAGGGCAGTATAATGTAGCTTTTGACAAAAGCAGTCATGCATGTTTTAAATTTGTCTCTACTTTTGCTTTCAATTGCAATCATTTTTGGAAATGTTACAACGGGTTAGTGTTTCATTAGACGCCCATAATTCACGGAGAGAATTTGTTAAATTTTTTGTTCGGAGAAAAACTTTCAATTTTAAGTGGTCCATCACTGGGTTTGATTCAATTAGAGCTAATTAAACGCAGCTAGTTGTCATAGCGACGCAATTTTTTGAACAAACAGTGCAAGAGTCATGATATCAAAGCTCGTTATCATATTTATATTAGCTCCTAATTATTATCAGAGCCCTGAAGCGGTAACATGGAAACTGGGATTGCTGTATATCTTGAGAAAATGGGATTCAGTTCTAATAACTAGGATTTCGACCCTTTTAAAGGTTGTTTACAATCAATCAGTATGGTTTTTCCTATAAAAGTCCATTCGGGACTGGAATTTTGCAAAAATTCGAAGTAGGAAATGGGTTTGGGACGTATTAGCAACATCCAATAGTTAACATAAGGCACCTCAACTAATTATTATTTTATGCTAATTGAACTTTACTGAACTAAGGTAGTGCGTCATTATTGCAGGTGGCAGTAACTTCTATAAGTGAATGTAAGGACACGGCAGAAGCTTATATTAAAAGTAACAAAGTTTAGCTTTTAAGTTGCTTAGCAATAAGACGTATTTAAGTTGATTAGCAATAAGACGTATTTTAAAGCTTGCGTACGTGCTACTGAACACCTGCGCTGACAACTGCAGAAATCGAATTGTCCTTTACGTTGGGAAAATCAGCTTATATGTACGGTAAGAGCAGATACTAGGATTACCAACATAAGGTGAGGTGGTGATCAGAAAATTGTTTGGTTTGAGTGTCAGGTTTTAAGATAAAAAGAGTTAATAATAGACTTCAAACTATCTGAACATTGCCAGGCTACGTAGGTCTGAGGGTTGAGCAGTTCCATGGAACTGTGTCTGTAGAACTGCTCAACCCTCAGACCTATGTAGCCTGGCAATGTTCAGATCGTTTCTATGAAGAACGTATTTACATTCATTAGTGTCTTATTACGACGTCGAAATGCCCTGTACATGCATTGTCATTGCACAGAACCGGTTCATGTCATAGAGCTTAATTAACATGCGAAGAGGACATATGCTATAGCCTGATTCGAAATTATTTATTTGTTTCTTAAATCATGTTAGGCAACTATTTTATCTTAGATATTTTCCAAAAAAAAGGTAATCAACAACTTGATTTTCCAGCTTGTGGCATATGCTTATTCTTCTATGCGTGCAGCTATATAATTTATGTTTCTCCTGTGTGTTATTTGTTTTTGTATATGCATGGAATCGGAGGAATGCCTTGCATGGGATTTCGTATCCAGTTCGCTTTTTTTCCGTTTGAACATTGTTCAATAAATTTGATTAGACTGGACAATGAAAAGCGGGAACCTATAGAATCTAATCGGAATTCCAGTTTTCAAAAGCACTTTCAGACGAGTTATACCGGATAAAACTACTTAGTTATGAGGTATTGATAGCATTACAAATAATTATATACCCGCAAACAGTGACACTTAAGTAAACTTTACTTTGATATTTCCTAACAACCCAACGAACTTGATAAAAACTCTAAATTTGATTATTTTCTATAGTTTTGCGATAGGGGAATAACTTCGAGGAGAATATCTTTTAAATAAACACCTTTTCCTATTAGCTACTTAGTTTTAGGAATATGTTGCCACATTATAAAAAAAATAGCAGTTTATCAATAAAATAGTGCGTAAACAAATCGTTTATTAACAGTCCGCAGTAGACATTGCGTTTAAAGAAACTTTGTTCAAATTTAACTTTATAATATATTTTAAGTTAAGATTTCATTTGTAAATTTCACGACATTTCAATTAAAGTAAAAGAAAGATTTTGTTTTACAGCAATGCCACATTGAATAAAGAATAGTTAGTAAAAAAACTTTAGGTACAGAGCAATTCGATCGGTGCTGCATGTATAAATTATAACTAGAAATAAATGCATGCAGCAACCCCTCGCCTCGGTTAAACGAAATTAGTTAAGTGTAGGGATGGTAACATGATTGTTAGAAAATTGATGTGGGTTGGGGGTTTTGAAGGGTACATGCTATATGATAATTCCTGGAGGACCGGCTCCTGATCAGAAAGTGAAGCAACAAACATGGCGGATTTTGAGCTTTGTGACGTCACCTGGTCCCCTTTGCCCATGGTAATTACCACTGACATACCGCGATACAAAGTGAAACGATAGCGCGTCAACGATAAAAAGTTATATGATTTTATTAACCTTTTTGACCTTTGGTACGTGACTTAATTCCGATAGGATTCATAGGAAAACTTTTTTGTGTCAGGCGAAATTCATCAATAGTTAATATTTTTAATTTTGAGGTGCTGACTGCTGATACAAAATATTTCACTCTAAGATTCAACCTCTGGTAGACTTGTAGTGGCTGTTAAAGGTCTAATATGTTATATTGTGTGCCTTGTCAAAAGTCAATTTATGACGGTTTAATAAACTTCTTCCACCTTGTTTATAATCAATCTACATTTAATTTGCTCTTAATGTTGATTAGTATTATTGTTATTCTTTCTGGGTGCAGAGTACTTTATATATTGAGTACAGTTAATCTTAAAAAGATCTCCATTTTTCAGGATGAAGATGCTATAGAATTTAACAAGAGATGGCTTTTTATGCAAATTAGTGGAACATTGTACTGATAATTTTACTATATAGACTTGTTGGCTGTTGTTTGCTAACATTTTTTTACAATGGTTTTTCAGATTAAAAATAATAAATAAACGCATAAAAACATGCATTAATTGAGCAGTGTGTCTTCAATCTACAACAACTTTTATAATTTCCTGGACAATGCATTTCCCCCACACACCATTAAAGGGCTAAAATTATTGGGCTAAAGAGGGTTTTTGGATAATAGACTGATTAATGGAGGGGTGAACAAGCACAGTTGCATTTTTGTGAATTCATTAG